TTCTATGATTCTATGATTCTATAATTTAAATATTTTCCTCTAAGTCCTTGATGGGTAGTGGGGCAGTTATTTCTATTGCTGATGTAAAGCCATGTATATGTGTGGTGAGAAATTTGAACCTATTCCTTACTACTGAGGTCTTGATTTTGGCCTCATGTTGTGAATAATAAGAAAAGTCAGATGTCCCTCTTAAACTTGGATCAGTTATTGTAAGGAAGAAGCAACTCCTCTCTGGTGATGAAGCGTGGCCTGGTTTTGAACTTTTCTTTATGTGTGTTTTGAACGTATTTTTTCATGTGTTTGTGTTTTTGCTTAAACTGTAACTGATTTTTTTCTAGACACTTCATCTGCAGTTAAAATGTTACCACTTTTCAATACTTGCATGTATTGAAAGGTATTGTATGCTGCCTTTCCCTTCTGCTGGCCAGAATATGCATTCCTGGTGTCAGTGCGGATATTACCTCACTAAAGCCTGCAAGATTTGTACATACAACTTTAAACAAGTCATTTCCCAGCCCCAGGCAGCTGGGAAAACAAGTCAACAAGCAGTAGTTCAGACTGCAAAACAGTGGATTGTGTAATCCACTGTGGGAGTTATGAAATCCTAAATCAGTATTAGGATTAGCGAGATAGCCTAACATAGCTAAAATACACTTAGAAACAGCTTTAAGTGCTGTTTGGTTCTACTTTTTAATTTTCAAAATGAAAGTCCGTTAAGTAATGATAATTGTATGAGTAACAACACTTCAGTATTTTAATTAAAGTATGTTTAAATTGTTGTTTTGTAACTGTTAGCAATAAGCAAGCAGGAAAAAGTTTTTCGTCAATTTTCAATTATAGCCAAAATGCAGATACCTGGGGTTTTTTTAAATGCCTCTTCGTTTTCTTCATCTTCTCCAAGTACCCCTTCTCTGCAGCGTAATGCAGCCACTCACTTCACTGCCCAGCACCACTGATGACATTTAGAGACTTGAAACTCATCATAGCTTTGTCTGAGGGAGCTGAGGGGGTCAGTAGAGCATGTGCTGCGGCAGATGATGCTGCTCTGCTGCAACAGTGTCTCCTCACTCCCAAGATGCTGTCTCACTTTCTCAGTGCACGCTATTTGGGAAAACACTGATAGTAGCCCTTTTAATTTTGCTATGTACAGCTGGAAAACATTCTTGCAAATGGAAGTGCATGCATGCTTGCAAATACATTTTGCAGCAGACAAAGACAGGAGGTAGTGAGCTTCTTCACTGCATTTTGTTCTTAAGAGAATGACTTGCCTTTTTTCTTTGTTTGCTTGTAAATTCAGAGTTATAGAGATTGCAGCCTGCCACTCTGCTCACACATCGGCTGCCAAGACCCAGAGTGGCCAAGTGTACATGTGGGGCCAGTGCCGTGGGCAGTCCGTGATCCTTCCCCACCTCACACACTTTGCCTGCACTGATGATGTGTTTGCTTGCTTTGCTACCCCAGCCGTTATGTGGCGTCTTCTATCAGTAGGTGAGCTTAACTATTTCTCATTTCAACATCTTCTAAATACAATCATTAGTGCATAAAGCAGTTGCATGTAGTTGAAGCTTGAATTTAGTTTCTTGCAAAAATTTATACTGGAAGCATAAGAATAATCATATATTACGTATGTGTGAGTGGTAATATGGAATTGTAAAAACTATGAAAGCCTGATGGCAGTGCTAGGTGTTTGTCTGCTTCATTGTTATGTTTTATTTCTGTGGGTAAATGCTTTGGGGTTGGGGAGGGGGTGTTTTGTGTGTAACCACTGAATGTTACTGTAAAATGGCCACGGGTGGAGAAGCCGAGTTTCAACTTGGAGACTTGAGGGAGCCATGCAGAATGTTTATGAATCCTTAAGCTTTCTTTGATGCCCTTAAGTTAATTGAGGGAGCCAAATACTAATGTTCAGAATTGGCCACAGGCACTTAAGAATCTCATCACAAGTGATCATGATGTGGACTTCTGAAAAGACAAGTTGCTGGATCTCAGATATTTGACCAACATTAAGGTCTGTCTTGCTTTGACTGGGAAGAGTTAAGTATATAGCACTGTCTAAAAGAGACCTCATTCTTCAGCTACAAATGCAATTCCATATTGGATGCTAATAAAGTAACTGGCTTAAGTGACCTAATCAAAGATGAGACTCTTGGGCTGTCTTGTAGGTGTCATCTGGGAGCTTGAGCTAAAAGCTAGAATGCAGCAACTTGTTAATTTGTAATTTGAGCTGTACTGAGTCCATCATGCTTCCTTTCAACTTCTGTACTGCTTATACAATAGCTGCTGTGTTGCTGTATACTTTTGTCTGACAATTGTAAAACACTCTTTGCTCCCTTGGTGCTTTCTGAATGCCAAGGAAAGGAGATTCTGTTAATAGTACTCATATTTCAGCTTTGAGAGACTCAAGTATTAAATGGAGAATACTGTTCTCAGGAAAGTGCTTTGCCAAAATTTGCAGTTTAATACTCAGAGATATTCACTCTCTCTAATGCAATGTGGTTAAGACTATATCCATAGCTATTTCCCAACACATCTTTCACTGTGAACAGTACACCGGGCCTCCTTGCTCTCTTTCACACCTTGCGAGTAATTTTTGATTGTAGCAGCTCCTTATATTTTGGGGGTTTTGACCTTGAATTCTTGGTCCCTCTGGAAATAATGTTGCAACATTATGGCAACATTGTAGCAAAGCACAAAGTAAAATCTTAGAGGAGGAAAAGATTGTTTTATTTTTAAACAAAACTAATTTCAGCTGCACTTTCAAACCCACATTCTCGTATGTGCCAAATGGTCTGTCCAGCATCCCAGCACTAAAACGTGTATTCAGGTGATCAGAGCAGGGTTCCTTGCGATGACACAGGGTAAAGGATGCTGGGTATCAGGCCCTCATCATGTGTCCTTGATTCTTTTGTTGGATAACTGTGCTGGTTTTGGATATACCTTTTTGCACGCTTTAGGAGCTGAGGGTGAGTAGTCTCTTCATCGTCTCCCACCTTGGCAAGTTGTCAGGACTGACTCACTGTTGTTTGTTTCTGGATCTACATGTGCTGAGAATCATCAGGCAGCTGCATCCTAGGATCTTAACATCTGCTGAAGTAGGTGCTATGGACATCTACCATGCTTCCAGCCCTTCTCCATATGTTGTATTCTGGTACTTCCACACCCATTCATTCCTTGTTTATGGCAGTTCTAATGTTTCTAATACAATTCTTAGCACCAACTACTAAGGAGCTTTCTTGGCTTCGTGCCTTGTCAGTGTGAATTCCCTTTTCATTTACTTCCTTTGGTTCCCCCTTTGCTGCTGTGACAAATAAAAGCACCTGTTTTGCCTCTAAGAATGTCCTAACTGAACTCCACTATGTTCAGTTTACTTCTGCTGGCCTTAGAAGTGGTCACCTGGAGATGTGTATCGGTGGACAACTGACTTGTCAGTTGGCTTTGAAGAAGAGCTTCAGCTTTGCGTTGGTTGTTACAATTGTTACTTATTCAGATAGCAGAGTTCTGAAGAAAAAAAAGCACACTGTACAAAACAAGAACTAACAAAGTATTTTAGAGTATTACTGTATCAGAAGGATTTTTTGTTATCATCACATTGCATTCCCCCCCTAATCCTTTTACCTGTAACCCCAAGCACTTTGATAATTATTGCCCAAATTTGGGTATACCTGAACATAAGTGACATCCTTTAAATGAAATGAAAAATAATTGTGCTTAACAAAGGTTAATGGTATCCAAGTGTTAATTTTTCCATTTCCAGCAGAAGACTGTTCTTCTAGCTTGGTAGGTTACAGGACCTAGCATTTATGTAATTTTCTGTAGGGAACAACTTATTACTGACCCACAAATAAATCAGTAATGTGTATTTGTATGGTAAGAAGGCAAAAATGTTTTCTGGCTTAAGAACGAGGTTTGGGAGAGTGGTTCATTTTTTAATACTGTAGAAGAAAATAGTTCTCTGAGGCTACCAAATATGATGGAAACAGGAAATCAAAATATGTATGCAGACAACAGATGGCTCTTCAAGGCTGACTGGTAACTTTACAATGCAGGTGTCGTGCACAGTGGGAAATACTTATCTTTGACACAAACAGGAATATGCAGACATTCAAGTGGAGTACTTCTAACACCCTTCATCTAGGGAAAACACTTTTTGAACAGACTTGTAACTGTTGGTATTTACCATTGGGGATATTGTACTGGGCAGGTGTCCTTTTAGGTATCTTAGAATAACTATCATTTTTCATTTGGAATAATTTACCCAGCGATGACTGATAGCATTTGCTATCAGATGCAGCATTAAACTTCTGAAACTCTGTTTATTTTCTTTTTCTGGTCTTATATAGATGACTTAAAGGAGCTGCACTTTTCTCTTTTTAGTAGAGATATAGTAAGGCTTGAGGAAAGCTACCCTTTATTTGCTTTTCTGAGGGTTCACACTGAACACCTAGTCTGCTGGGTTTTATTACTAGCCTTGCAGAGATGTTGTATTTATCAAGATTGTTAATTGCTGACAGATACCCAGGACGTTGTCATGAGAGATATTTGTATTACTTACGACTTACTATTAATCCCCCTTTTTATTCTAGAGCCTGATGATCATCTAACAGTAGCCCAGTCACTAAAGAAGGAATTTGACAACCCTGAAACTGCAGACCTGAAGTTTCTAGTGGATGGAAAATACATTCATGTTCATAAAGTTCTTCTCAAAATTAGGTAAGGCACAAACTCTATAGTTAAATATAAACTAAACTGGATAGTATAGTCCACTGTGCTAAGTAACTACTGCTCAAAATTCTTTACTTAATTCACCTGCTATTCTTTCACTGTTACTCCCTATTCCTCATTTCCTTTGCTGCTTGGAATTTCTAAACATGCTGCTTACTACCAGCCTTTTCATCACTTCCCTCTGTCTGACATGTGTCCTCCTTTGTGCTACCTAAATGGCCTTGACCCTGATTTCTAACAACCTTTTTCTGCTGAGGGAAAGGCTCACTTCTTACTGCTGCCTTCCCAGTAGTTTGAATCAGTTTTTTCTCCTTCATATGCTTAGGTTCCTCCACTGGGATGATTTGAGAGTTTTGTGTTTATTCTTGTCATTCCTTTCTTCCACAGGACCCTTCAGTTGTTTCAGCAACTTCTGTAGATGCACTTCAGATTATCCTTTTATCAGATATCTTATCCTGATATCAAATCAGAATATCAGATTATCGGATCTCTTATCCTGCTTGTTTTATCAGTGAATTTGAATTTTAAGCTGGCTTATTTTTTTGTTTTTACAGCTTTTTTTTCCTCTCTTTTCTGCTCTCCTCTTACTACTGCAATTACGTGTATTACTGGTTTCTTCCCTGTACTGGTTTCATTGCTTGTACATTACGCTCATGCCTATAGTCCACTGTTTTTGATTGCAGTGCCATGTGTCAGACACTACTTCAAATCTTGTGTATCTATCTCCAAAGTGTTTCTGAGGTTCTTTTTCCTGATAATCAGACTACATGTAACTTCTCCTTGTTTCTTTTTGTCTGCTCTACTTTTCTCACATTTTATGGCATTGTGTGAAGAAAATGTGAGTCTAATTGTGAAATGGATTCAAATGTATGGCATTAGCAAAATAATATGAAGGCACAGTCTGCAGAATTAATATTTCTTTATGCCTTATAGTCTCAAGATGCAACTGGATCTGAGGATAATGTATTTAAAATGCTATTTTGCAGCATTCAGCCTGTTCCAGAGCATTGTAATGAATGCAGTGCTGGTAAAAGTTCCTTTTCATTATCCAGCCTTTTGTTTGCTACTCACAAAAACATCTTTCCATCTTGTTCTCTGCCTGCTGTTGAACTAGATCATATTGTTGGTGGTTATTACCTTGCTGTGGTGGTGAAATGGCTGGGCAACACCCAGCTCAGTGAGGGGCAGGGCAAGCAACTTATGCCTGCAGAAACAGATACGTTTGAGTATTTGGGTGGGATTTGTCTACTCTGCATTTAACCAGCCAAAATGAGGTGTCTGGTCTGTCTCTGCTGAGAGATAGAGGGAGAGAGACACTCCAAAGGATGAGTCGCTGCAAGGTGTTTTGCAGGCTGAAGGATAAGTACCAACTGATTTTTATTTATTTACTCATTTATTTTTGCGGGAGCAATGGCACCACCTTCTCTCTGACTTTCTTCTTTCGTGTGGTACCACTGGGACAACAGACCATTCCCAAGGTCTGTTCCACAGCTGGATGGATAGCATGGCCACCACTACTTAACATGAGGCTCTGGGAGACAAAGCAGTGGGGTTTGGTCTGCCTCTTCCAATGCCACAATGTGGGAAAAGATGTGGCAGAAGCTAGATAATGAGTTTTTCATTTTTTATGAATTTGACTTGAGGTTTATCTATTTTATTAAAAAATGTAATACTGAGGAAAAAAGTTATTTAAAAAAAGGTAAAATCAAATGTGAAGAACTTAAATTAAGTGAGAGTTAAAGAATTTCTTTTCCTTTGTATTTAAGTAATGCTGTCTTTCCAATGTAGACTTGTCCCAGAGATGTTAAAAGGAAACCAACCTACCTTTTACATTAAAGTTTTAGTAAAAGAAAAGCACATTCTGATTCAGGAGAGTTCAAAAGTAAGTAGTGTAGTACAAAAGAGTCCAATTAAGCTGTGGCTCTTGTAGGAAAATTTAACTAAGGTGATGATGTTCATTTACATTGGCAAAATGTTGAAAACAAGTTTTCTTGGGGAGTGGTAAGGTCTGTGAGCTGTAAGTTGCAGCGTACAGCTGTCAAAGGCAAGGCTTTTTCCTTGTTTCTATCATCTTGACTGTCAAAAAGTATTCAGGCTTAGAAGAAAAAGGTGATGAAAGATCTGGGTGAGAGTGTCTTCATTTTAAATGTTTTAATCCTTGAGTATAATGATTAAATCTAATACTAAATTGTGTATGGACTCTGACACTGGAATAAATGTTATCTAGAATATTAATAATTTCCCTCCTCATCAGGTGATGTTGGAGAAAGCAGCTTAAAATGTTAGAATTGTCTAAATTAATTGCGAACTCTATCTGTTATGAGTCAGGTAATAAAATCCATAGTTAATGTATAACGTATTTAAGAAAATGATATCAAAACCACATGGACCACTCTTAAAGATATTGGAAGTAGAAATGGAGCCTACCATAAAATATTAATAACAGAAATAAAGGAATATTCTAAATTATGTATTTATAAAGCTTATAAGCCTTCTAAGGGTTAAAGAAATTAACATGCTCAAACTAAGAAATCGTGTACCTGCAGTTTATAGCTGTCTATTTAGTCTGTTGTAACTGATTTACTTTTTTTTACTAACTTCTCGCTGCAGCTCATGTTTCAAGCTTAACTGTCTACAGTGTACAATCTTTGTTCATGTTTTGTAGGTGTGAACATTTTCGTTCCATACTGAATAATGACGATGAAATTATAGAAATGAGTGAATTTTCTTATCCTGTTTACCGAGCCTTCCTGGAATACCTGTATACAGACAACATTAGGCTCCCTCCTGAAGATGCAATAGGTATTTACCATAAATGGAAATAACCCTAGGTTACTGTTTCTGAAAAGTTCAACTTGTGTGTCATAACAGGATGAGGAAAGCAGGGCTTGTTAATTTCAGTTTTATTAGTAATTAAATCTTGACTTGTCAGATGTCAGGAAGAAGGGACGCAGTAGCAGGAAACATGTCCAAGGAGAATGCATGGTGGGTATGCAGTGAGATCAAAAATGCAAAATGTTCAAAAGGAACTCGTTGTTTCTCATATTAAGAACTTTTTTTACTTAAAAAGGCACTAATGCCGCCCTAAAACTTTTCTGTTTGAGTAAGTGCGGTGATTTGATCATGAATGAAGAGGGAGCTGTTCCCTGTAGGTCACTTATTGATACCTACAGTGAGATACAGCACAGTGAACAAGATGACAGAACACTTACAGAGTAATAAAAAGATCCTTTTTGATATGTCTGTTGAGGACCTTTAAAAATGAACACTTCATCTAGGGGGAAAAAGTAGAATAAGTCTTTGATTAATTCAGCCTATAACAACAGGGTAATCAACTACTTTGAAAAGAAATTAGTATGTTTTGCACCAGGATAGTTAAAGCTGTATGAATTTTCACAGGACTGCTAGATTTGGCAACACTGTATAGAGAAAACAGATTGAAAAAGCTTTGCCAGCAAACAATCAAACAAGGCATTTGTGAAGAGAATGCCATTGCTCTTCTTTCTGCCGCTGTCAAATACGAAGCTCAGGTAAGTAGAACTTCTCTTCAGGCAAACAGTTGTTTTCTGAGAAATGAAACTACTAGCATTTCACTGATGAGGCACAATTACTGCAATTGCCCTTTCTGGCTTCCCAGATGTTTGTTTCCCTCTTTGTAAGCTATTAAAAAAAATGGAGCTACTAGTGTTTTCTTCCTGGCCTTTTGGCTTGCGCTTGTGAGTCAGGATTCTTAATGTGCTTCCTGCCTCGTCATCATGGCATGGCATGGCATGGCATGCAAATTTCTCACTGCTGTTTACTTCTTCACCTTTGGATTTTGCATTGCCTGTTCACTTCCTGAGTTCTCCACCAAATCATTTTGTCTGCCGGTGTCTGGTACAGTCATTCTGATACCACCTTTTACAGGCAGTGGGAGAATTTACTTGTAAAGCCTTTCCCTATTTACACTTGTGCTTATATAAATAAAAAAATCCACTTTTGCTGTGTTGTTTACAATGAATCATGCTGACATTCAACAAATTACCTATTGTTATTCTTCTCCCTGTATCCTGTCATCTGGTCTGTCCTTGGCTCTGGAATGTTTCACTAACACTCAACCTGTTATCAGCATTACTGCAAGCACTGTTTTTGTAAACGGACAAATGCTTTCAAAGTTGTTTTCCATTTCTCAACTTCTTAGTGTTGTGCTGATTGTGGATATAATGGTATGGTGGATTTTATTGTTCAAGAAGTCTGCATATGTATTTTAGACTTAGTAACAGTTATTATAACTGAGCATTGTAGTTGAGAAGTCCTCATCTTTCTGTTCGGGATTTCTCCTGCCTTACAAAGAGAAGATCACCTATTAGAAGAGCCAAAAATTGCAGCTAGTAACAATGTTTTTTAAATATACTTAGTTTTTTTAGCTTTTGCCTGGCTTTACTAGGGTAAAGTTTTAAAAGAGGAAAGGCTAAAAGTATAATACAATGGCTTGATAAACTTGTTCCAGGTACAAGAAGCAAGTAGAAAGAAGGGACTGAAGCAAAAACTGAGTTTAAAACGTTGCAGTAGTCAGCGTGGAGGCAGCGTACTAGGTGAGAGAAATTTGTGTAGGAGTTGCAAACAGGAGTCTGGAAGTCAGAGAGTTTCCTAAAGTTTAGTAAATAATAAGATAGTCAGCTGCTGGTTACAAGACATTTGTGTAACCAAGGTATCAGGAAGGCATGAACAGGTGAGGCAAAGAGGAATTGTACTTTCAGTGTGTTGTGGTGGTAGAAGCATATAAAGGACAACTGGACAGGAAGGGAAGACCCAGCGACTGGAGCCTCCTAACAGCAGTTTTCATTCAAAGTTTACTCTAGAGTTTCTTCTCTTACAAGCTTTTCAATAGTTTTCAGTATCTTCAAAGCAGAAGTACCTTTAGTTGACCTGTGTCATGTAAAGTTGTTAAAAGATACATTTAGATGTACTGCGAAGTAATAAAACTAGCCTGGACAAAGTACTGGGGTTTAAAATGGCTGAAACACAATAAAAGGGATTGGCTAGATGACTAAATGTTACCCTCCCCTTCCTTCTATGATTCAGTGTTTTGTTCTGTACACCTAGTAGTATTTCAAAACATGTAACGTTTTAACACAATCATCAAATGATGAATTGGTTCCCCTGCCCTGGATGCAATATGTGCCAAACTCAGGAGTGCTTTGTTGCCCTCCTCCCTACAGCCACAGCTCAGAGAGACCTGCAGTAGAACTGCTTCAGAGAAGTGCAGCAAAGACTTCTTTATCAAAGACACGGGATAGTCTGTCTAAGTAAGCTGAGATCTTACAGTGGTACTACATTAATATAGTAAAAACTGGTTTGAGAACTATATGCAGTGTATCAGCACTTCAGTAAAAAACTGCCCAAAGAAGGGTAATGAAAGTGGCCTAATATATTTTTGAAGTTTGGAAAGATAGAATTAATTAGTCATTAAATGTGAACACTACAAGTTATTTTAAAGCGTATTTCTAATATAGCACTGTAGAAACTTTTAAGCATCTTTTATATAACAGAATTAAATCCCAGTATTGCTTGAAACTGCAAAATTAGTGACCAGGATTCTGATGTCTATAGTCTTCTTCATAGATCAGCACCAGAAAAGGCAGCTGGTGTTATTTTCATTTAGTGTAGAAGTTCACACATTGACTGTAAAGCCTCAGGTCTGGCAGTAGCATTTCAGGGACCTGCTGAAACTTAAGCAATGTCTTTGATATTCTACACTTTGTTGTTGTTTCTTCTATGGTTTTGATTTCTTCTTCTACTTGCCTTCCCTTTCTTGCTTTTCCAGTTCTTTTTGAGGAGAGATACAATTTACTTCTGTGCATTGTTGCTACCGTATTTCTGTTTGAAGGATTATTTTGTGCTGCTTGGTCTCTGTTAAAGGTTTAGTTACACCTTGACAGGAGCAATAGACTTGAAACAACCTAAGGAAAAAGTTTTAAAGGGAAGTAGACGGGTTTTCTGCTGTCTTTCTACTGTTAATCCCTGGCTGCAATGTCTGTGTAGTTAACACAGAATAAAACTGGCATGGATTAAGAGACCTCATTTTGCTGTAACCCTTGAAGAATTTGTAGGTCAAAGATCATACTTCCAATTTAGATTTGCCTTGCTGCTGGCTGCAGAAAGCAATTAATTTTCCTTCAACAGCAAGTTGTTGCATAGGAACCAGCTAACGGGGATTGACCCAGCGCATGGAAAGGACTGCCACTGTTGTGAGGAGTCTGAGTGGGCAAAATTTACTGTGTGAAATCATGGTTATCTATCTGGCTTAATGGCTTGTACCTGTTCTGTGCTGCATATCTGAACATCCTGTTGTGGCAAGACCAGGACAAGACAGAACCATTTTTGCCATCTAGGAATCCCAGTTCCTAGGTAGGGGGACTCAGCTGCTGGGTTCACCCAGAAAGACGCTTGTATCCTAACATCCTGCTTGTGTTTAGTAAGCATCATCAAATGTTACACATTATTTTCCTTTTACTTTCAGCAAGACTAGGGTATCTGCTGTTTTTCACAGGACAGCTACTGAATTCAGTGCAGGGAGGAGAAGGAAGGAGCCACTGATGCTCTAGTAGTTGTATGTGGGGAAAGTTGATGGTTTTACTTACTAATAAGTTTTCTAATGAGCTCAGTAAATGTGATGGAGTTCTAGGGTCAATTTAGGTGGCTGGTCCTGTTTTCTTGGAGCGGGGCTATTGAATAGTTTGTATGAACAAATTTCATCCTATCATTTATGATCCAGTCAAACTGATCAGAAAAGGGCTTGGTCATGGGAACAATCTGGGTAGTCTCTGATAATTAAATGACAGATTTAAAACAAAAAAATAAAATAATTTTACTCCCAGTCGTTCATATTACAAATTACTGCAATATTTTTCCTAGGACTTGGAAGAATTTTGCTTCAGATTTTGCATAAACCATTTAACTGTTGTTACACAAACTCAAGGCTTTGCTGAAATGGACCACGACCTCCTGAAAAACTTCATTAGCAAAGCAAGCAGAGTGGGAGCATTCCGAAACTGAGGTCTGACTGCCACCAAGCTGAGGAGCATGTCCTCTTCCCTCCTGGAAATACATCTCTTTTGGATCCATGGTCAGAAGGTGCGAAGATTTGGAAAGAAAGAGTCAGTGTCCATCAGCTTAGGAAATGTGTAAAAGTCCACTAACATAAAGGTTTTGTAAAGGTGGCTACAGTATAGGTGTGTGGTGAGAGTTCACTGCCAACAGTCAGAATTTAACAAAGATGTCATGCTGTAACTAACTACCCTTTCCCACTTACAGTCAAGCAAACTAAGCTGTCATCGTCTGAGTTTCTCTGGTTTTCTTTAAACAACTTGCGTTTGGGCACTGACCTGTTTGCTGCTAAAACTGTCATAGTATATTTTTATCACCAAACTATGTTAATATGTCATAGTGGGCTGCTGCTTGCCTAGTTTATCTTAGAGTGAAGACAGATAGAAACTTGTTTTTCTGAAAGTATGATGAAGTAATATAAACTGTTTAGGATAAGAGGCTTTCTGATTGGTAGGAGGATGTGTCTCATTTGGTATGTATTTGGAGTGTAAATACATAAGCTATGAAGAGCTTCAGCTGGACATTACAAGTTTTGAGTTCCTGGCGCTTATGTCCATTGTTACAGACAGAATGAGACATCTTCCTTTCCATTACACTAAGTATGTTCCCTGGCACCCTAGTGGGCCAGGAAGTATCCACAATATTTGGCTGGACATTAATTATTGTCCTGTGTGTTTTGGTACTGAGAAGACCATCTGTTTGCTTATTGCCAAAAGAAACCCAAACAAAATGTCAAGGAAAGGGAAGTTCCACCTGAGGTTTGTTTATTCCTGTCTTACTATCTATCCCCAGGTAGACCACCTTAAGAAAAATGGGGAAAAAGAGAGTTTTGAAGTGATAAAATGGGTCTTACAATTAAATCGTAACAGTGAAACATTATTTTCCACACGGCAATAAGGACACATTGTCTAAATATATTGGTTCAGGTTGTCCTTTGGTCTGTGCTGGGAGGTACCACACCACTTACCTTACAGGCCTGTTCTAGGCAAGAGGAGCTGCTCCATGGACTTGCCTCTTTCAGCACTGCTCATCGAGGGGACTGGATGACTAAGGCAGATGCTTAACTTCTAACTGACTAAAGTGAGTTAATATGAACCCCCCACCCAGTGTTGCGCAGAGGGAGGTTTGCCCCGTTACAGAAGACACTGAGCTCATGAAGCATTTACTTGAATTTTTCTACTTGGTAACTGTGAATTGACCCCAAGAAATTATTTCTCTTATATTTTGACTGGACAAAATGGCTTTAAGAGCCTTTTGAGGTATTTTACAAATGGAGAAGGTAAGAAGCTGGATGACCAGACTCAGTACATTAACATACTTAGTCTTGTGACATTCCATCAGATCATTGCTGGGCCACAGCATCATTTGATGACTTTTTCTAAAACTTAAATGTGGTTTTTAAGAACCTAATTCCCTTGAATGATTGCAGCCTCATTTCCTAATTTCTAAAGTCGAAATAACTGTTCTTTGTTATATGGGAGGATCTTTTCTCAAACAATCATGTTCCTTGAGGAGGAGAAGGCGAAGCACATCCTCAGACAAGAAGTAGTGAGTAGTGCTTCTCTTCACATGAATCCCTGTGGGTGTGAGTGGAAGGGTGAGGCACCCAGACAGCAGAATTTACTTCGGAAGGGGGCCACAAGCAAATTATTTTTGAAAATGCTGTGGTAAAAAATTACTTGTGTTTGAGACTTTTACCTCAGACTTTTCACTAGGAATATATTGGATCATCTCCTGGTAACAAGGGTGTTTGCCACCCCCTCAGTGATTAGTACAACTTCCTCCAGCAGCACCAGTCCGTGCTTCACAGCTGTGTCAGTATTTTGTATTCAAACAGAACTGGTCAAAAACTTCCCAGTACATAATGCAGTTTCATCAAAACCACAGCTTCCCCAGAGATCAGCTTTTGATAAAGTGGTGCTGAAAAGCACATGACTCAGGCCCACAGACAATAGAACAGTACCATGGCAGGGCACAATTTTGCTGCAAACCTTATATGCTACAGCCCAGCACTAGTCCTACCAAAGCATAGGCACAAGGCAATTCTACCTAAGCCAAGACTGGGCAATTCCAGGTGTTTTGGTTAGGCCAAGGATGGCTGAAGTGAAGTCTGCCCCTTTCAGTCCTGGGCTCAAGAACTGCCAGATTCACCTGCCAGCATCTTCTCAGCTGTAGGAGCACACAGAAAGAGGGGGGATGGCCGGAGCCCAACCTGCAGGTACCAGCTTGTACTGGCATTGCACTGATACTCAGTCAGCCTCACCAGGAAATGGAACAAGCTGGGCACCCATGCCCCTTGCAGAGGCCTTGCCCTCACTCTGGCCTTCCCAACATATGTACTACAAAAGGTGTCTCCACAGGTTTCTGTTGGTTTACTTAAAGAACCAAACCTGCAACTGTGAAATAGTTGATTTTAACTTGAGGTCTGATTAAAAACATTCTCTGCTCAGTAGCTCCATAGGTACACGGCTCCATGGAGTGATAGCAGAGGGGAGCCAAGGCCACTCTCAAGCTGGCTCAAGTTCAAAACCACTAGTTCAACAACTACCGTACTCCAAACTGCATGCTTTCTTAGCGAGGTGGTTTTGGCTTAATATAACCAATAGTGACACTGGTTTTTTTTCGATGTATTTCCTTCCTACTCACAATTTCCAACCTACTTGTACACATTAAAACCTCACTGCAATTTCAGAGTAATTGACAAAGCCTGTAATTTTGAGTAGAAGCAGCTCTGGACTGAATGAGGGTGATCCTAAAGACGCAGTGGGTCAGTGTTGGCTTTTATTCATGCAGTGTGTACCATCTGGCCTGGGTGTGACAGCATTACATTGATAGGGATGTTTGTTTATTAGCATTTTCAGTCTTTCATTGCATGCACTTTTCTTGGCACTTAAAGGTCAATGTTTAAAAAAACCATCCTGGCTTAGGTGGTTAAATGTGGATGTGTGTATATAAATGTGCTTGAAACCAAACCGTGGGTCCTTGGTAGAAGAAATTAGGGCTGCATTTTACAATTGTGAGATGGTCTGCAAGAAACCCATGTTTGTGGATCTTGCAGGTTAAATATGTAACGAAGTATTTAAATATGTAAGTATGGTCCTGGTTTAGGACACCACAGACATTGTATCTGAGGTTTGAAGATGGGGGATGTTCCACTTTGCAGAAAGGGAACCAGGTGGGTAACTTCCAGAATCAAATGGAATTTAAAATAAAAAGAAATTACAGGCATTGATAGGGTCATTTAATGGTTCTCTTGAGTTACTGAATCCAAGAGCCAGCACTGCATCATCAGCCAGTACCCTCCTCTAGAGTTTTGTTACAGTGCCCAATAGCTGTGTGAGCTGCTGGGTTTACATGATCCAAACAATTGCCATGGGCTTTCCAAAGCATGTCTTTACCCCACACAGACAGGACTCAGTGGCTACCGCCTAATAATGCAGAAATATGTTTTGATTTTTTGTTTCTTTATAAACTTGTCTGGTTTTAATAGACCATTAATAAAAATGCCATAATATTTAAAAAAAGTATGAGTAGGATTCTTTCCTTTTCAGTAAGTGGTGAAAGTCTGATGCTTGTAACATGAGTTGACCATGTAGTAGTGGGGAGAAAAAGAAACAAAACAGATAGATAAATATTTGTGTTCCTCGGAAATAACTGCCACCGGATAAAGCATTTGAAGCAGAATGAAAACTGAGTCTGCAAAAAAAGGCTGGAGTATTTGCATAAGTGTGTTTCCACCTTTCCAAGAAATTAAGGGCCTGGTGACAGTGAGTAATAACACTGTCTTCAAAACACCAATAATGGTTTCTGAAGAAATTTACATTATGACTATCTATCTTCTCTGTTACACATTAAAGTATTTCAACTTGTACTTTGCACCAGTGTCTCGCAGCCATTTCACATCTGACACAGGTGTCTTCCTGCAGCCACTCCTGTACTTGAAAACACACAATTTACACACTCCCTATGTCTGCTCCAGTTCCTGTGAGGAACTTGCTATTTACTACAGCCTCTCTGGACTAGCACTAAAGTGCTAGTGAGTGAGCACAAAGTTCTTCACATGCAAGTCAAATGCAGGGAAATAAGTTCCTGTGACATGTAAGAACAAACAGCATTTGGAAATGGATGACAGCATGAGGAGATCAAGATGTATAATGGCAACTGAAGAGGCTCAGAATCAGCTCAGTCCACTCAAGGTGGCTGCACTGGCCAAGCCAATTCACCTCACACATTTTACGTACATGGCTCAGGCAGAGACTGATCGCCACAAATACACATTTCTCCATAGCAGTGAGAGGAAGAGCTTGACGAGCAGCGCAATCCTTACCATTGCCTTACTGTTACTTAAAACACCTGTCACAATTCCTATCAAATTCCTCTGCTCTGAATCCTCATTTTCTTTTTTTCCTGGAATACCATTTCAATATTCTAGGCCATTCTGCACACCACAAGGTCTTGCTATAAAAAAGGCATTCTTGTAAAATTTCCAAATCTTACATTGTAAGATTTCCAAATCTGATCTTTTCAACACACATTTGCAGATGTATCTGCTTAAAAATAAGACTCTGAAAACGTGTTTGTAGAAGGGGCAGGGACTGGCACATCAGCCAGTGCACTTTGTACTCCACACAGTGTCCTGAGCACCGGTTCTACAAATAGCACTGCAAGCTCAGCAGAGCCGCGAGTCACAGGCACCGATGGACGTCAATAAAGCAACACGGGGAGCGTGCGGGACTGACGTGCCTGTGGCCAGACATCCAGCCCAGAGTTTTGACATCCTGGCCCATTTAGAGCCGTCTGAGAGTGAAAGAATGGATTAGGAAAAGCAGGGTGGTGAAATGATGGGACACCAGCTTCTCTGAAGGACTGCCTCAGGCACTTGGCAATGGCCATGACAGTGACCCAGAACACAGTGCTGGCCTGTGTCTGTCCAAAGCATTACCAACAGTGACCCTAGAACAAGAGGTCTGCTGAGAACAAGATTTCCAGAGTATCTTACAGAAACTTCTGAAGGTAACTACAAGCCCAACAGTGTAAGTATGTGGACTTCTGTACCAAGAGGAAATCAGTCACTGGAGATGGAGTGATCTCTGCTTGTACCAGCTGCAGAATCATGGTCAAGTGTTGATACAGGAGGACACCATAGTATCACATGATCACAGAATGGTTTGGGTTGGAAGGGACATTAAAGATCATCTAGTTCCAGCCCCCCTGCCATGGGCAGGGACACCTTCCACTAGCCCAGGTTGCTCAAAGCCCCATCTTTAGCATCCTAAGCCCCAGTCACTCTGTTGTACACGCCCTTGTAAAAGGCCCCTCTCCAGCTTTCTTGTAGGCCCATACCATTACTGTACTTCATTACCACATGAAGTCACCTTCTCACCTAAGAAAAACTGCAAACTATAAATCCTTTAAAAGCTATTTTATTTATCTTGAAAGGAGAGAAACTGATCAGTTGTATAAAATATTCTCTTACATTTGATGTAAAGCCTTCTGTCTGTTTGAAAAAAAAAAAATACATTGTCACAGTAAAGAAATAATACAGCCAAAGGATCGTGGGAGAACTTCAGCTGCTGTAACAGAACTTACGAGCAGTGTACCACAATGTTAACACATAGTCTGTAAAACTGCAAAAAGTGAGAAAATAAACATAAGGTACTCTTAACACTGTTCCATTTTTCAGGAAGGAAGTTGAAGCCGTATTGAGACTAAAAAATTAACTCAGTTTTATTTTAAAAATCCATTGACAAATCAGTGTGCTGCTTGTAGAATTGTTAGTAGCTCTAAGATTAGCTTCCATTCAATACAAGAACTGATCTTTCAAATGTATTCCTGTAACTATTCTAGGATCAGCTAAACAATCTCTAAATAAGCTAGCCAGAAAAGATGCCAGTTTGTGTAATGAATAGCATACTCTTCTACTATAACTCTTGTAATTTAGGTAGCTGCAAAAGCTAGGTTTCATAAAAATGGGTAATTCTGAAGCAAAACATTTATTTACTCATATTTTAATCCACTGGAAGTCAAGTATGTGCTTCCCTTACCTATTTTGCAAACACTCTGCCATTGCAAGAAAAATTCCGGTATCTGAATCAGTAACGTACAAATACTCAAGATGAAAAAAGTTTTGGGGTTGTTTTGGGGATTTTTTGCTAGTTACACCAAGTTGCCTGTTAAACTCTGCCTTTTCAGTAAAAGGCAGACTGGTTTTCCCAGTGTGGGCTCATCCAGTTTGGCTTTTGTGCGGATGCTGCAGCAAGGCCAATGAAAGACGGTGGCCTGTACTTTTAGAGACCAGGCTACTCTTACCTGGAACCCCACTGGAGATGCTCAGCTTTCAGCTACAGGAAGGAGGTTTGGTGCCCGCTTCTCAAGCTTGTTCAGCTTGGCTATGGTTAGGTGAAAATCTGAAGAAATCAAGAAAATTCTACATCATTAGAATTTTGAAGTCTCATGTACCAGGTGGGAATCTCAATACTTTGAGATTTTCCAAGAGAAGAAAGTGCACATCAAGTACTTTGCATATGGGAAGAAGCTTCAGCTTCTTGGTAACTTCTCTGTGGGATTCATATGCCATGAAATTCAACCTGATGGACAGCATAACTGCCCTCTGAAACTACACAAACACTAAGTACTGGTTTCAGTAGTACAGCTACATAATGAGTTCACTCTGCATTCAGGTTGTATGTCTGATGTGAGGCCCTGACTCTGCAGGGTCTCTTGACTGCTGTGCAGTTTAAGTTACTGGGAATTTGATGTGCTAATTACATACAGAGACAGAAATCTTTGCAGTATCTGGCCCCTCATCTTCGAAATTTGCAAGTAATGAGGATATAAAAATGAAATTTAAGACCAAAAAAAAATAATAATAGTGCATTTCAAATCATTCTAGCTAACATCTTGTCTTGTCAGACAGAAATTCAGTCCAAGTGACTGAATTGGCTTAAATCAGTAATGTTGCAATAGGAAAACTAAGACACCTTCCAAGTTTGTTTTTAAAATCCTCACAAAAATATATAAATTAAATTCAGTGGCTTACATTGTATATATGCTACATCATAAGGCAAAAAGTATCATGAAAAACATATAAAAATTTAAAAAGTCCAAATGCTTTCAACTAGCACTTCAGAATAAAAAGCAACTAAAAAAGCAACTCAATTAATGAAGGCTGTAAAACAGAAACAATCTAAGAGGGCCTGCAGTGCAGCCCCTGGTCCTGAGAAGAATCTCACTTTTCTTCACTCGCTGAGGTATCATTTCCATCATTCAGTTTCTGCTTTTGCATTCTTGTTCGAGTAGATGCTAAAAAAAGCCAAACCAAACAAACAAAAAAAAAAAAAAAAAAAAGAGTAAGATTAAATACTTTCTTCAGAAATACTTTGGAGGTGCAAAAAAGCGTAATGACACAAGGAACAGAAGTACACTGTTCTAAATAAAACAAGTCCCTCATTTGAAAATAAACACGTGCCTCTCAGTTGCTTCAGCAGTTCTTGCTCAATCTCACACATCTTAAATTCATTCCACCTCTTCACTCAAGTTCTCATTGCTTCTGTACCCTCCCTTTCTGTTTCCCTCCTCCAGGCAGGAGATGGACTAAATCATGTAGGGACCTTGTCCTGTTGCCAGGCAGATGCTCTGGGGTGAGCAGTGCCCACGTCACAGAGCCAGCCAACCCAGGAAATGCCCTTTACCCCACTCAGTAATGCACGCTAACACAACTGGACACGAGACAGAACACCCCTTCTTAACCTCTGCCACAAGTAAACACTGAAACATTTCCCCCTGGCCTAAAATAAACAGGAGGCGCCTGGAGCCATGCACATACCCAGCTTGATGAGCAGACACTTGCTAGGTAAGAGTATTTAATGGGTTAATCTGCTCAGCTACAGAGCTCAGATTCCACCAGAGAGTAACAATGCCAGGTCAGACCAAGTGTGTTCCTTCTTGGGAGTGGAAAATACAGCTCAGGTGCAGGGATGGGCCTGTTTTGCTCTTCATGAGCTAGATTTGAGTTTAATTTTAAAAACAGAGGAGTGACCTCATAGAGTCAGAGAGAAATGCTGATCCACAGTAACAGAAGAGCAGCATTGAGTATTTTAGCACAAAGGACAGCGAAGCAACATACAAAATCACAACTTCCCTGTGCATATAATTTTCCTTTACTGTAATTGCCTTTTTGGTGGTCTAGTCAGCTAAACACTGCTGCAGTTACTACTGATTTCCTTCTACCTGCAAGCTCTCAGCTAAGGGTCTGTCGCTACAACAAATGGGAAAGCCTTGGCCAGTATTTAATTCCATTTCGAGAATTCTAGTGTTCAGGAAGAATGTGTCTTATTACCATGTAATATAGCATCTTCTATGCTGCTGTGCCGTTTAACATCCTCAAAATGGCTTTTGAGGATTTCCATTTTATAATCTGCATTTTCAAGATTAAATGGAGCAAGTACAAAACACTAAGCAACTTACCAAAATGACATCAGTGTTGAGCAGTGTTTTTATCCGAGGGACTTACTGCTGAGCAGTTAATGAAAATAAAAAAAAACCCAAATCATACTCACTCATTTCTGCAAGCTTTTGTTGGAACTTGGACTCCTGGGGTAGGTGTTTGCTGCAGACAGAAAGCAAGTTGGAAAAAAAAAGAAAAGGTAACTTTTTATCCTCATAAGGTAACTTTAACTCAAGGTGAGTTCATGTCAGTGCTGGCGCCTTCTCTTACAAAAATGCAAACTCTTTTTTTTTTGGCCACACTAAACTCAAGAGTTGCCCGATACCTCATGTGTCTAAACAATCTGGGGTTTGCTTTTGAAAAGACTGACTAAACATCAGGATTTGGCACTCAGCAGTAACACTGGGATGCTGGATGTATGGGCACTGAATAAACCCTTACTTCTGACATGAAACTGAGAAGTATAAAGCTACCATCTCTCATTTACTATACTCACTGAAGTTCACAAATTAACAGAAGTCAGGATGGCAGGAAGGAGTTAGGATGGAGGCCCCAAGACCCTAATATACATAAGATATTGAAAAGCCAGGAACAATCCCTCACCTTCCATCTGCTTCATCTTGCCCTTCTATATCAAAGCGCAGCCTCTTCAGTGGCTTAGGAGCAGCGCTTACTTCAGCGCTGCGCTTCAGCTGGTAGTCACTGTTGCACACCATCTGGTTTATTTTTTGAAACTTTTCAGAAGTCTGAAATGACAGAAGAAAAATAGGGAAAAAGCTGCCAATAAATCCTGAAACTACTCAAACTTTCCAGATTATCCACTAAGAAAAATTAGAAGTTCTACAACTCTGCAGTTTAAGAACTATCTTCTGTCAGAGCAACTAAAGTAAAATGCAAAGCATTAAAAGTGAACTATTGGAAACTAGATATTTGAACACCCTCATAATCTTTGGGCTTACAGATTCCATAGGATACTACATTAACTCAGAGCCACTCCCTGGCCGGTTCCACAGGTGTCAGCAGGCCAGTCCATTCCTCCAAGTTACATGCATTCAAGATCAAACACTAAAGATGTTAAAACTCACCCCAAATGATTCACCAATTGACACCAAAATTCTGCCAAATGAAGAAGAGAAGTGTTTAAGAGCAAGATACATTTAACAACAATAGAATTGATTTGCACAGCTTAGCATAGGACATTAATGAAGTCCCTTCCTCTCTCACCGCACTAACAGTGCAAACCCATACTGTGCTTTACTGCGTTGAGACAGTTTAATGCTTCTATTCAGGCCAGAGAACACTGAATTACCAAATCAACCGTAAAGATAGAAAAGAAACTGTGGCTTGAAAGAATCAGAGGCCCCACAGTCCATCCCTTATCAGCAGGCAGATAATTCAGTGCTGGGTATCCAGGTAATCATCTTTTCATCTTTACCTTTAGGTGTTTGCTTCAACACAAAATACCCAGTAACTTTTGTACGCAGTGGGCCAGGTGCAATGGGGCTCACTTGATCCTAGCTTGAAAAGCCCACAGTTTGAAATGCTGTCATCTCCCTTTCTAAGAACTAATGAACCAACAGTTTGAAATGTTCTGCTCAGTCAACTAAATACTCTGAACCATTTTGTTCCATAAAAGTATTAAACAAGTGTACAAAGCTCAGCTCTGCATTTCAGAAGTGTTCCAGAGTCAAAGCCAACCTTTAAACAACTAGGTCAGCAAACCCTGCTTGCATACGACTGTTCTAAATAAAAGAGGAAAAAACACAAACAAAAAACATCCTTGAGCACACTGACTAAACTGAAACAGAAAAGTGCTCGAAGATGAATAAAGATGTCAAATACAGGATGCAACTTTTAAAAAGAAAAGATGTAACAACCACAGACTACTGACAAACAAGGCTCTCTGCTTTTCTAATTTTCTTCCACTAAAATGCCCCAGATACCTGTAATGTAGTCAAAGAAATGCCTGTCAACAACCTACCTAGACCTTGGAGTCATCTTTGTGGGTGACTGAAACCCATCAGAGAATTTGTATGGGCTCTTCAAGGGCGAGATGTAGATGTTATTGCCAGCAGGGACACGCCGAGGAGAGTTGGAAAACTGGTAAGGGCTGCGAGGAATGTGCGGGATAGGTGACAGAGTGGGAGGCTGTAAAAATAATCAAGGAATTGGAAGCTTTTATCGTCTATATATTCCTATGCTGTTAAATAATGAACTGCAAACACAACAGCTTACCCTGTTGGAGGCATACTGCAAAATGTTTGTTTTCAGCTTCTGCATAAACACTAAGTTGTAGAAAACTATAATGGAGTCATACTGTTCTTCCCTGATGAGAACACGTTTGAAAGTCTACATAGGGTGAGAAAATCATCATACACAGATTAAAAAAGAGGGATGAAAAACTCAAAAAAACATAGGTAAAGTCTGTGTCAGATAAGAGCTAAGATGGCATATGTAGTGTATGCAAGCCATTGTAACTATTGCTTAGAACTGTTCTAAACTGCTGTTTTTCCAAACATGTATGAACATCAGTAGAAGCATCTACTTAAGTGGCACAGCACCTTAGTGCGAATGTGTTGATAACAACATTTTCCATATTTAAGCTCCATTTACTTTCAAACACACAACTGTCACTAGTACACACACCTTGGAAGGCTAAAAAAAAAAAATCATTACTGTCCTGATGATAAAATAGTTCTTTCAGCTTGGAGACAAAAGGCTGGAGTTTAGCCAAGATGCACAAATACTCTATGAGAAATTCTGCTACTAAAGGATGCTACAGTTCAATTAACTGTTCAGTGAGGGTTTTTTATTAATTTAGTTACTGTTTCATGGAAAAATGTAAGGCCTTTACAAAAAAAGGAATTTCTTAATGTTAGAATTAAGCCTGCAACTTTAACACATACACACCTGTTTGATATACAACCATACATCTCTATTTGATATCTAACCATATTTCTGTTGAAAGCTTCTTTCAATAGAAAGTTGTCTGCTTCTCTTCCCTTAACGCTCCATGCAAGTAAACTCTTAAAGGAACTTGGGTTGCATTTGAAAGTCCTATTAGCTCTCAACCTGAATCCTTCATCTAGTCTCCAAATAGTATCATAAACTATTACTTAGTATCTTTAAGTAAAAACGTGGAATGAAGTTTGCTTTCTGAGGAGAGTTACAACTATTTGTGTGAGATGTTTAAAGAGACATTTAGAGCCAGTTTTCTCCTCCACTAAATGGAGATACAGTGAAGCAGAAGTTTTCTTTTGTAGGTTCAAGCATAGTTTTATCTTGTTTTAGACAGAGATAAATAATAAGTTTATAAAATTTTTATGAAGGGATAACATTAAAAAATTTCCATACCTCTTGATTTGTGTTGGGAAGCTCCTTGTACGCTGAAACAATTATTTTAAATCTAAGATCAACATTCTTTACTTTGCATATGCCATACATGCAACACATCATGATCTATAAAAGAAAAAAAGACAAGACAACTGGAAATGCAGAAAATTAATTCAGCTTCTTCATTTCAAGTAATTAAGTGATGAGCTTTCAATTACTGATTGTGCTCTATGAACCAGCATGCAACTCAGCTTTGCAAGAACTTCCAGGATTTAAGTCAACTACTGTTTCCTCTAGTTCTGTATGACAATCAATTTGAGCTGATAATATCTTCTTAAACTCATTTCATATGCTGCAATTTTAGGGTTGAATAACAAAACTTTTATCAGCTACGTTGTCTTCCCAAATAAAATGAGTATTTTCTTATGCAAATTATTAGAAAACTTGTTATGTTTTCATTATTTTGAAGATAGCTGTAAATGGTATTTGAAGATCCCAGAATAAGACACTACCAGTACTTAAAAACACCTGATGTTGGACTTCACTCTAAATTAATTTCTCCTTTGAGAGATCAGTAGAGAAATAAAAACTCAGGTTACTATTTCTAATGGCTGAAGAACATTTTGTGCAGTTTCAAAACTTTTTTGTTAATGTTACCTGGTCCAAGTGCCTGTCTCTCATAAGCTCATACTCATTTTGCAGTGTGTGCTGGAACAGGGTCCAGATCAAGGGTTCCAGATCAGGATGGTCAGAGAGGAGCCGAAAGAACAGGGTACGCAGTCGGAGATAGGCCAGCAGATACACTTCAAAAACAGAGAAATAAAATAAACTGAAATCGTAATAAAAGTGGTAAACAAAACAAAAGGAACATGACGGAGGATGGACAGTGACTGAAGGTTCATCATTTCCCACTACAGAAACCATAAGCCATCAAATGAAGGTAGTAGATGCCAGGCTCAACGAAAATGGAAAAGATTCTTTATACAACAGGCAGTGGACACACAGGAGTCCACACCAAACAATGCTGTGCACGTGTGTCTGGGTCACTTACAAAAGAGTCTGAACAAGCATTTGGAACATGAATCTACCGAGAGTCACTAAACAGACACATTGCAAAAGACTGAGGAGAACCCCTAAGCTGGCGAAAGTTGTATCTTGGGAAGACGTTCAGGGGAAGCACCACACACAATTGCCCAATTCTTAAGCTTCCCATAACACCTATCTATTGTCACTGCTGGTAACAGGATGCTCTGATAGAAGCAGCCTCCACCTGAGCCCATATGCCATTCTTATAATCAGCAGATAGGTTTTCAGTTGGAACTCACAGTGTGTAGAGTGCATGCATTAACCTCATGGCACCATCCTACGTTCCTTCCAGAGGCAGCTAAGGGTTTGCACAGTGTTTATTACAGATTTTACTATAATCGTTTAAGAGGTGTTGAGCTCCGAAACCCCAAAAGGAAAAATAACAAGAGATAACTTCGCAGTTTCAGCACCTACAGAAGCAACAAACCTTTTTTGTAGAACAGAGAGAGGGAGGTAGATTTCTGTGGCTTCTGTGGTTGAGGGGTAACACCTGGCTGACCATCTGAAGTGGAAGTACCACTTAGAGGAGGTCCTTTCTTCTTAGGAGATCTCACAGGAGAAAGATAGCTGGAGATTCAACATGTATTAAGCACTTAGCATCACAGGATAAAGGGATAATTTCACATGAATAATACTTGCAGGAACTCTTCCCCCATTAGAAGAAATTAATTACCCCTTTAACGTGCTATTCTCATATCTGGAATGAAAACTTCAAGTTATTGATTAAATACCTGATAAAAGGACTTATTCCTAGGCAAGTAAGATAACAGTTTGCAATTACAAGTTTGATAGGGCTTGGAAAAAATATTTCAGGATTGGATTTAGTTAGATTTACATGTATAATAAGCAGCAGCAAATACAACACTCCAACATAACCTAAGTACCAAGCCTAACAAGTAGAAAAACAATACAAGTGGAGTTAAATATTAAGGGTGGTAGTAACATGTCACTTACAGGTCTGCTGCAGTGTGATTATGCTGGAGAGGCAGATTGAGAGTGGAAGTGGGCTCAGGCTGTTCAGTTTGGCCTTCTCGTTCTTTTGACTGCTTGATAAGATCAAACAGAGGTGACCCCTAGAAAAATGACAGTAACAGTTCACTATTCTGAGAATAGACAACCACACCAGACGGATTTTGCTCCATTTTCTGTAAAAACAACCCCAAAATTATGATCCTAAACAGAACATTAATGCTTTGAAATACTCCAGAACACTCATATTTTGTCAGGTAAATTTTTACTATTTAACTGAAAAATTTTAAGTATTAAATACACCACTTTTTCTGTTTCAAGAGCAATCCATTAGATATAGGCTAACCGCAGAGTTGAGACATGCTTCTACTCTAGAGGCTCTTATTACTTCCTATTAAATAGTCATTCCTGAAGAGCAAACAATACAAGAAAACACATAAAAGGTCACATTTTCAGAAACTGAAACAAAATAAACAAAACCCAAACAACATAACGAAAGCAAAAAACCACCACCTTCTCAATGACTGAAAGTTACTGCTGTACTTAGTGTCACCATTTCTGGTACAAAACCTACCCAATATTTTACATACAGTAATATAGGTCATAACTCATCTCACTGCACTGGGGACTATATCGATCTCTGCAGTACTATGTTCCAGAGCTACCTCTGGCAAGAGTTAGAGGCACTCTGGATACCTTAAGTCTCTGCCCCCGTGCCCGGTTCCAAAACCCATTTGGATTTCAGGTCAATTATCAGTATGTTAAGAAAGGCAGCTGGAGTAAATCTGACCCTATTGAAAGCCTGAGATAGGAGGCGATGCAAGGAGGATGTAAGTGGAATGGAGAAGGTTCTGGCTGAAACAACATTAGTACTGTGCTGATGTTAGTAATAAACAGCAGAACGCTTTTCTTCTGCAGTGCATCAACTAAAATTTGGAGCAGTAAGACGAGTGACTCGAGATTTACAATTTCTCACATCGTGTAATTTTTAAACTATGATTTTGGCAATACTGTTGGAGCTGTTCCGTCCCCAGCAGAAAAACATCAGCCCGTGATTCATAACCACACAGTTATTTCTCCAGCATTTCTCAACCAGATCAGCCCTTGGGC